CGCGGCGAGCGGCCTGCGTGCTGTAGCCATGGCCGCAGTAGCCGTCCTCCGGAACGACTCGCTGCAGGCCTTCCTCCAGGTCAGGGCCGGGCCCGCAGGGGGCGGGGAAGTGGTGGGAAGGGCCACGTCCGGATCTCTCCTGTTCCTCTGTGCACCCTGAATCTCAAAGGAAACCTCGCCGGTGGGTGCAGCTGGAGTCAGACCTAGGGATGTCCGCGCCAACTTCACACCTAACCTAGTGTCGAGAGTGTGACCTTTGGGGGAGGGACGCGTGGATCCGGGGGTTGTTTGGGGGTGCGCGACCGGCCGGGAGCAGGACCCTCCTGCTGATTCCAGCCTGGGGCGGGCCGGGGAGGAGCGCAAGGAAAGCGAGAAAAAGAGCTTAAAAGATGGGAGGGCGGGTGGCTGGGCAGCCGGGCTGTGAGTGTTTCCAGACTCTTACTGGCCGCGGAGCCGGGAGCGACCCGTCGGGTCCCTCCCCCTCCCGCTTTGCGCCTGCTTCCTCTAAGGCTGGATGGCGTCTCTTTGCACCAAGTAGTTTAGCAGGAAGCGCTTTCGCGCCTGGTGTTCAGGTAGCGAGGCACCAAAAGTTTTCTGGGACCGGTGGGTGCGTGCGTGGGGTGCGATGGCGGGGGAGGGACAGCCAGGGCGGAGGAGGGGCTGCGGTATAATAGCGGGAGTGGGGGTGATGGGCCGGCCTGGAGTCCACGCTTGGAGCGCTAACCTTTTGTCTCTTCTCCGCCCTCCCTCGCTGCCGCCGCCCATGCAGGACCGCACCCCCAGCGCTTCCCCGGATTTGGGCAAGCACTCGCCCCTGGCGCTGCTGGCCGCCACCTGTAGCCGAATCGGCCAGCCGGGCGCGGCGGCGCCCCCGGACTTCCTGCAGGTGCCCTACGACCCCGCGCTGGGCTCACCCTCCAGGCTCTTCCACCCGTGGACCGCCGACATGCCGGCGCACTCGCCGGGCGCGCTTCCGCCCCCGCACCCCAGTCTGGGGCTGACGCCGCAGAAAACTCACCTGCAGCCGTCCTTCGGAGCTGCGCACGAGCTACCGCTCACACCCCCTGCCGACCCCTCGTACCCCTACGAGTTCTCGCCGGTCAAGATGCTGCCCTCGAGCATGGCGGCTCTCCCTGCCAGCTGCGCGCCCGCCTACGTGCCCTACGCGGCTCAGGCCGCGCTACCGCCCGGCTACTCCAACCTGCTGCCCCCGCCGCCGCCTCCGCCGCCCCCACCACCCACCTGCC